TGAGCTGTATGAGCTTTACAACGATATGGACATAGTGCAGCGAATTAAAATACAGCGGCTCCGCTGGCTTGGTCATGTCGTTCGAATGGACACCGACGCTCCAGCTCTGAAAGTATTCAACTCGGAACCCGCTGGTGGTAGCAGAGGAAGAGGGAGGCCCCCACTGCGATGGAAAGATCAGGTGAAGAATGACTTGGCTTCACTTGGCGTTTCCAATTGGCGTCAGTTGGCACAGAGGAGAAACGACTGGCGTGCTTTGCTGAACTCGGCCAAAATCGCTTAGGCGGTTACAGCGCCAAAAAAAGAAGAAGAAGAGTCCACTTTTTAAGCTAGTCAATAGTTTTAAGCAATTTTTAATATATTGTGGTTTAAATTTTAGTCCAAAAAGCTCGTGGTTTAAAAATCAAACCAAAATGATTTAATTCTAGTTTCTAGGTTTCATTTATTTAGAAAATTTGGTTTAAAATCTAAACCGAAATAGAAAACGTTTGCACACAGCGAAATGTGGTGTTGATTCAAACTTAACATATGAAAGCACATTTACATGCGTGGCTGTAGCTGAGTGTGCAAAGATGCTGATAGAATTGGTTGCTACCAAGGCTGTCCGGGTTCAATCCCCATCAGACGCAGCATGAAATTTAAGATTTTTTATTTGTTGTTCTTGATTATGACAATGTTTGGATCTAAAATTAAAATTTTTTTTTAAACTTGGAAGGTTTGTATTTGAAATTGAATTTAGTTTGGTCATACATATATGTAGTCCAAAAAGTTTAAAATTTAAACCGAAGTTTTTAACCGTGTAGTGGAAGAGGTCGCAAAAAAGAAGCAAATCAATCTTCCTAGAGCAGAGAACGCGAAAAGCTAAAAAAAGCTGGCTATGTAAAAGTTACTGCTTCAAAACTTGCAATATTAAATTTTTAAATATAAAATTTGCAAATCAACAATACCGCAATTTAATTTTTTAATGGTATTAGGCTATTATTTATCCAAATTTTCAGGTAATAAACAAGATACAGTTCGGATGTTACTTGTTGTCGTAGACGTTTTTTTTTTCAATTTATGGCTTACTTTTTTAAAATCACATAACGCTGTTTGCAAGTGGACTACTCATATATTCATTAAAAGATAATTTGGCGTCCGTCTGAAATAAAAAAATTTTAAATCAGAAGGATAAAATAATATTGTGTTATTAATTCAAAAGTAAATAATTGTAGTTCAATGACGAAGGGGGGATCTATCCCCCCAAATCTCGCCCCCCTGGCTACGCCACTGATACTGACTTACATATGCGTATACATACATACTTTAATTCTTAATTATTACGTTTCTCTTATTAACATTCAGGTGATCTTGCGTCTCTAAAATGGATCGAAGCATCACCATCTCAAAATGTCAGAAATGATGACTTAGAATTGTGTACAGTTTATTATGCTCCTATAAACTTCAGAGATGTTATGTTGTCATCTGGTAAATTATCAGCTGATGCTCTTCCTGGCGATTTGGCACAACAAGATTGTGTGCTTGGTCTTGAATTCTCTGGGCGTGACTCCTCTGGCAGACGCGTTATGGCTATGGTACCTGCTAAATCATTGGCTACAACCTGTCTGACTAGCAAGTATATGATGTGGGAAATCCCATCGAATTGGACAATGGAAGAAGCATCTACTGTGCCTTGCGTATATTCCACGGTTTACTATGCACTAATTGTACGAGGAGAAATGAAGAAGGGAGAGAAGATCTTGATTCATGCTGGTTCGGGAGGAGTTGGCCAAGCAGCCATTTCAGTTGCCTTGCATCACGGCCTGACTGTATTTACTACTGTTGGAAGTAAGGAGAAACGCGACTTCTTAAAACAACGATTCCCACAGCTGCAAGACCGATTCATTGGAAACTCACGTGATACGTCTTTTGAACAATTGGTCATGTCCGAAACACAAGGAAAGGGTGTTGACTTAGTGCTTAATTCGCTCTCAGAAGAAAAATTACAAGCTTCTGTCCGTTGTTTGGGCATTAATGGACGCTTCTTGGAGATTGGAAAGTACGATTTAAGCAACAACAGTCCTCTTGGTATGTCGGTATTCTTGAAAAACACATCCTTTCATGGAATTCTTCTGGACAGTGTCATGGAAGGAGAAGAGGAAATGCAAAAACGAGTTGTTCATTTAGTTGCTGATGGCATTAAAAACGGTGCAGTGATTCCACTTCCCACATCTGTGTTTAATGAATTCCAAATTGAACAGGCTTTCCGCTTTATGGCATCCGGAAAGCATATCGGTAAAGTTGTCATTAAGGTTCGTGATGAAGAACCTGGAAACCTACATAAACCTACATCGCGTTTAGTAAACGCGATTCCACGTACATATATGCACTCAGAAAAGAGTTATATACTTGTAGGAGGCTTAGGCGGTTTCGGCTTGGAACTTGCACATTGGATGGTGTTACGCGGAGCGCGTTACATTATTCTTACATCAAGATCGGGCATTAAAACTGGATACCAGACGCTTATGGTCCGCCGTTGGGAGGAGCGTGGTGTAAAGATAGTTGTGGATACAAATGACGTTACTACTTCTGAAGGGTGTAAGAAATTACTGCAAAATGCAAATAAATTGGCATTAGTTGGGGGAATATTTAACTTGGCTGCAGTATTACGCGATGCCTTAATTGAAGACCAGACCATTCAAGACTATCAGACTGTTTGTAAACCAAAAGTCGATGGCACAAAATTCCTTGATATGCACTCTCGTACACTTTGCCCTGAATTGGACTACTTTGTGTGTTTTTCGAGTGTTTCGTGCGGCCGCGGTAACGTTGGCCAATCCAATTACGGATTGGCGAACTCTGCCATGGAGCGCATCTGCGAACTACGTCGAGTCAGTGGATTACCCGGCCTTGCTATTCAGTGGGGTGCCATTGGAGATACGGGTCTTGTACTTGAAGGATTAGGTGATAACGACACTGTAATTGGTGGCACACTACCCCAACGCATGAGTTCATGTCTTCAAACGATTGACCTGTTCTTACAACAACCACACCCCGTTCTGGCATCGATGGTTGTAGCTGAAAAACGAAGCAGCGATCCATCTGGTGGCGTGAGTTTAGTGGCAGCCATAGCTAATATTTTGGGACTGAGAGACGTGAAAAACGTGCAAGACGGCGCTTCCTTGGCTGACCTCGGTATGGATTCATTGATGAGTTCCGAAATTAAACAAACATTGGAGCGCTGTTTTGATATAGTTATGTCGCCGCAAGAAATACGCGCTCTTACTTTTGGCCAGCTGAAACAACTGGATGGCGCTTCTGCTGATAGACCCGCATCAGTACCCAGCTCTCCTGCAACACGCACTCCTACTCCAATTGGTGATGGAACACAAGTGGTTTTTGTAACTGAGCTAATGCCTTCAGAAGCTATTGTCCGTTTGAAATCTGCGGCACCAGCAGACTCAAAGAAACGGCCGATTTTCTTCGTTTCACCAATTGAAGGCTTCGTGGATGCCTTGAAAGAAGTTGCGGAGCGTTTAGATTGCCCGGTGTTTGGACTACAATGTACAGCTGACGCTGATCTTGATTCTATTGAGGGTTTGGCCAAATTCTACATTAAACATGTAAGAAAAATTCAACCTAAAGGTCCATATGCTATTGCTGGGTATTCATTTGGTGCCACGGTTGCCTTCGCAATGGCAGTAGAACTGGAACAAAACAAAGATGCAGCACAATTAGTTTTGTTAGATGGTGCGCCGAAATATGTCAACTGGTACACAAAAGCCTTCAAAAAGCGTTACAACACTTCTGATGATAAGGATCAGAACCAAGCATTTGCTTTGGCGTACTTTGGCGTTGTAGCTGCTAATACAGGTTTCAATGTTAGTATCAAACCGAAATAACTCAAAGTAAACAATGAGTTGTGATTATTTAAATGTTTTTCAATTTAGGTGGCAAAACTGTTGGTAGATATTCCAACATTTGAAGGCAAAGTGGAAAAATGTGCGGATATAGTTGCTGCAGCATTGGATAAGCCTATTGAATTGGTAAATAGTATGCATTTCATTATGAGTAACCGATTATAATTTTAACTTTTAACTATAGGTCAAATCGGCTGCTGCATCATTCTACTATAAACTGGCTGCATCTGACAATTACTTTGTCACACATAATTTGCAGTGTGACGTTACGTTGATAAAGCCAACGGAAAATTACTCTAAACTAGAGGTGGATTACGGCTTAAACGAAGTATGCAATGGAAAAGTCGACGTCCTCATCGTTGAAGGAAATCATCGCACGATCTTGTTGGATGATGAGCCTCTCCAAACTATTGTGGCTTCACTGAATCGTTTACAAAATTAATCTTTTATTAGAAGTTTAACCAAGACTTTCATGGATATTATCATATGCTTATTCTATCTTCTATAAATCATGCACCAGATGTTTTATTAATACGTAAGCATTCCCTTGAAAGTTGCTGGCATTTAAAAACCAAATAACTAAAATTAGTATAAAGAAGTCAGCTTTACTTATTAAAAATGAACGAGTTGTAAAGGCGGATTCACCGTTCGTGCCCGGATACGTTTTGTTGGTAATTTTACATCATCTTTTTCCACTCTGTTGTGTTGGACACTCTTTGTTCGAATCAAATTGAATTTAATTTTCTGTCCAAACGACCCACAGTGGTTCAAATAGAACAATGTGGACAAAATTATTTACCTGGATCTTCTGACTTACATGGCTGTAATTAATCACAATGTTTACATTTTGTGCAATAAAATTGTAATCGGAGCTTATCGTCTAATTATAAACATACATATATCTATTTAAGTACATTAGAATGCATCACTCCACATACAAAAAAATCGGTAGTATATTTCCATCGGAATTACAAAATCTATTATATTTTATGACTTCCACCAAAATATTTCGGAAAAATATTAAGATTTGCGTGAGCTGGATCGATTTGAAAATACCTCCAAAAATGGAGTTTTCTATGAAAAAAATATAGTTTCTTAAAAATTATTTTGAAAAAATGCTCTTAAATGACAAAATCGGTTATCTTTAACATATAGTACTCATAAAGCTGATTGTTCATATATGGAGCTTTATACTAAAAAAACTATCAATAATCAGCTGAATGGGAGCTATATGCTATAGTAAACCGATTTAGATGATTTTCAAAAATAGTCCTAATATTAAAAAAAAGTCATGTAAAAAATTTTAGAAATATAACTTTAGGGAGTTATTCAAAAAGAGTGAAAATTTTTAATTAATATTACCTCGGAAATTGGATCCAATCCGGCAAAATGGGGACGCCATTAAATTTAGAAAGTCCCAATTAAGTACGACCAACTATCAAAACCTTTGCTCAAGAAAAAAAGTTCAAGATCCCAGATATAAACTGCCATATTTAAAACTAGACTGGTGCTAGGTGGGGAAATACTACTTTCACACTAATAAATGCAATTAGTTGCAAAAGAAATTTGAAATTTAAGATTTTGACATTTCTTCTATACTAATAAATAGTGATGAATACAAGATAACAAAGAAAATAAATGGTACTTACCTTTGGCTTGCAAATCCATCACAAATATAAAGTAAACATACCTCTACAAAACAAAGACATGCAAGATACCACTAAGTCCACATCATAAAATTAAACAACACACGTAAGCGTTTTTCTGAAAAGAACAATTAATTACTTATCCTTGAATTAATTAATTAATTACTTATCCTAATAAATGCAATTAGTTGCAAAAGAAATTTGAAATTTAAGATTTTGACATTTCTTCTATACTAATAAATAGTGAAGAATACAAGATAACAAGGAAAATAAATAGTACTTACCTTTGGCTTACAAATCCATCACAAATATAAAGTAAACATACCTCTACAAAACAAAGGCATGCAAAATAGCACTAAGTCCACATCATAAAATTAAACAACACACGTAAGCGTTTTTTGAAAAGAACAATTACTTAATTACTTATCCTTGAAAAAAAATAATCATGCAAAAATTTTATTTAATTCACAATAAGAAAAATATTGCTTGCCATTTTTAATATATATAATACAAAAATGCAATGTCGACTTTTGCCCAGCTAGCTTGTTCGAATCACTGTGCGACCTGATGATTAAGGCAGCCGCTTTCTCTCTTTTATTTTATGTATTTGGAAGCGAATTACATGTACTATTTCTTCTCAAAATCATAGTTTCGTATGCATGCAACAATATCATCAGTTGTTTGCTTCAGAACAGAATAAATTGTGCCGAACTGAACGGTGAGAGCAATTAAAAAGATGCCCGGACACCAGCGGATAATCCGCTTTAAATGACAACGATATATACAAAAATTGTAAAATACTTATTGGCAACGTTTGTATAAGTAAAGGCGGGCCTCCATAGCACGCGTATCCACATGCGTCCGTTTGACATAGAAGTCAAAATTCATACAAATTTCTTATGTGTTCAAGTGCTGCCATGTAGGTGCTGCCTTAAATAAAAACGCACGCATACGTATACGCATGCTATGGAGGTCCGCCTTCAATCTATAGGTCTTAAATCTCAACTATACATTGTTATTTCGATATGCGTACTTTTGTCTTAGAAATTATCTAGAGTACTTTGGTTACTTTTGCATTTTGTTACAGTCGAATGGATAACATAGTTTTATAAATTTATATATATAAGTGCATACATTTCTCTATTCAAAAGCGCCTTTATCTAATTTTGTTAGTAAGATGAAATGTAATTTCGATCAAATCATTCCTTAAAGAAATACTAATTTCGTATAATAGAAATAATTTGGCCACAAATATAAATATTATTTATGTAATACATGCTTATAAAAAAAGAAAATTCCTTTCCGTTGAAAATAGAAATTACGAGCTAAACACAAGTTCTATGATAGTAACATAACTACATTGTTCTAGCATTTCAATGAAATTTGAGGAAATTGAATGTAAAGCGAATTAGGGTTTTAGAGTCACAAATAATTTATCCATTAATTAAGAGTTCTAGTGACACGTCAGAATGGCGCTACAAAATCGAAAACCAGTTATCCCATAAAGATATTGCGGATTATTTTTTTTTTTATCTTCTTAGTATAAAACTATATAATTTACTAGTTATTCCCCATTTAACTTAATTTATAAATATGAACGCTCGAATAAGGCTTCAAATCTGGTTATTTCTGAAATACTTATGTATGTAAATATTAAACATTTAAAATTTATGTACATACATATGTACAATGGATGTTCCCAAATGCCTTTGAAATTAAATTTACATTAAGAAAATGCTACCTATTTATGGCGAAAATAAAAATATGTAGGTATCTTGAGTTAAATAATGTTTTATTATTTTGTAGAGGTATTCGATTATTTCTGCATAAGGGCTGGGATAGGGATGTTCCGATACAAGTAAATACGAGTATGTACTCGATACTTTTGTTTCGATACCAAATACTTTTTTTACTCGAATCGTTGTTTCGATACCTACTTGGTATCGAAAGAAAAGTACTTGTATCGAATCGATTTGAGCAAGTGCCATATCTTGCCGGCTATATTTTTACTATGGAAAATAATTGCTTCGATTTTATGAAAAATAATTGCTTTACGCAATGGAACTGCGAAAACGTGTTGCTAATGAACAAATATATCGTCGTTTAAAGTACAAAACCGCGTATCGTCATTCTGCAAAACCGCGTAACTGACATTGGTTGCCAAAAATTGGATTTGCTCACACAAGCTCTTGTCTCAATCTGTATCCATTCGTCCTGAAATATACTAGCCAGAAATGCGATAGCTTTATAAAAATAGAGCCATTTTGAAATATGAGTGCTTTTACTCTCTAGAAAATAATTTATACAACTTCTCATACGTGGTTTTGCATTTTGCTGATACGCGGTTTTGCATTTTGTTGATACGCGGTTTTGCACTTTAACCGACGATATATATCTATACCTCTACTGCAAATATATTGAAAATATTTGAGATAGGGCGTTTTGAATCGGCAGCTGAGATAAGGCATTTTTGAACCGAATTCTGAAATAGGATGTTCTTTAAAAGTTTTCTGAAATAGGACGTTTCTCAATCCAATTCCGAATAAGGGCGCTTCTGAAAAGTTTTCTGAGACAGGGCGTTTTCGAATTGGCTGCCGAGATAGGTCGCTCTTCCCCTCAGGTGTCGCATAAGGTGCATCACAGATAACGCCTGAAAATTAGTTTCAGTTTGTTGCATATAAAAGGATGAAAAATTATCGATATAAGTAGGTATCGATAAATTCGGCTTACTCATATAAGTAGTATCGAAATAGCGATTTGAGTAAACCCAGTTGAGTAGGTATCGATACTTTCATGGTATCGGAACGTCCCTAGGCTGGGATGGCTTTTCACTGCCATGGAGTTTTTAAGTTTCGAAATTGTTTAGTCCTCTTTTTCGGTTTGTGTGCTAACACAAACGGTTTCGTCAAGTTGCAGAAAAACTCCAATTGAGGACGCTTCTATTGATTTCAATACCAACGGAAATCAGTTGCAAATCGAAAAATTATATGCCAGGGCCACACATAGGGACGAATCGAGAATCTAGAACGACAAAAATGTATAATCTTCGCACTCGTGGTCTCTGATTTCGAAAGTAATATCAAATTTTCAAAATTCAATTCAAAATTCAAATTATATAGAACTAATACTTTCGAAGATAATTGCAATTTTAGTAAAAAAATGTATTAATCAATGTATTTATTAAATTTTATTTTAAGAGCACATTGAATTTTGATGGACTTGGGCGAGCCTAAGATATTTACCAAAATTTGTCATCTTATCTGTCACACATATTGCTTTATAGCATAATGAACCATATTTTTTCTATTACCAATAAAAATTGAATGTATGTATATTAGGGTGCCCATCGAAAATGATTTTTTTTTTTTGGAAATTTCCAGACCCTACCCCCTAATTTTATTCGTTTTTATGAGAAATATTATTGTCTATTTTTATAGATTTTGTAGATTCATAAGTCTTTGAATGACTATTTTTGATTCGATTTCAAAGATCGAATATGATGATATGGTTTATAACAGCATATTGTAAGACTTGGATTGTTGGCATTTTTCATCGGGAAAACTAAAAAAAAAAATAATTTTTTCGTTTTTTTTTTAATTTTGACATCACTTATTGCCACAATTTCAAAATATGTAGTACTATCTAAAATTAAATCTTTTTACAAATAAACTGATATCTCATTTATTGCAATCGCGTAAAAATTGTCGAAGTTAGGCAACTTTTCTTAAATACGGCCTTGAATTTACATTCTTTATGTACCGGACTTTCAGATTTTTTGAGCAGTGTAGTTAAGGAATTCATAAATATTTATTCAAAATTGATATATATAATCGCTCTTGAGCAAATAAAGTGGGTTTTCAAGAAATTTTTGGAAAATGGGGTGGTACCGCCCACTTATATGATATATGTATGCGTTTCTC